TCCTGCTCCTGTGGCCGCGCTGTGGCCTACACCCGGCCGGGTCGCTCCACGTTGCAGCCGCCGCTGATGCCTGCAAAGGGGGCTAGCCTCCAGCTCCGTCCTGCAGATCCTGCTCCTCTGGCTCCAGGCGGCCACGGGGCGACAGAAACCGGCCACCTTCTTCACCCCCTGTGGAACAACACCGCCTCCTGGGCGCGTCGGCCGCGGGGCGCCACGGAGACTCGCACCCTTCCCCAGCCTCTCCTGGCTTCCAGCAAGTTTGCACTTTCTCGGTTAGGGTAAGAAGTACCTTGCGACCCTAAAATAGACCTCTGCTGAGACCGACTCCTCTCTGCAGCCGGGTAGCTCCAGAACGGCTCCTTAAACCCTAACGCTTCTGCTCCTCATCCCTGTCCCCTGCCCCGGGGCTCAGCTCTCTGCTTGTTCTCTCACTCTCACGCCCTGGCTCTCTGGCCGGCAGCTCCAGCAGCTCCGCTCCGAGCAAACCTTCTGCTGCCAGCAGATAACATCACGATCCTGCCCGGAGCAGAGATTTATAAGTGCTCCCCAAACCACGTGTTTGCCTTCAACAAAGTGACGCGCTAGGATTACAGTCAGAAGTCCTCTGTTACTAAGACCACGAGCTCTCGACCGTTGAGGGGGTGTGGAAAGGGGGACGGCCCGAGGAGGAGGGCGACTGGCAAGAGAGATCCGCAGCAGTCACAGTCTGTGATCTCCGAGGGACAGGCAGCTAAGCATCTCCTTTTTACACGGTGGGGCTCATTCATTCGCAGGCTCCCTGATTTTTATTGGTCTGTTTACAACCTAGCCTTCTGTTTGTGAACTAGCAAACTAGCTAGCGGAAACAGATGCACCTCTCCCCCCCAAAGATGCTCTGTTTTACTGCTCTGAATAAAGGAATCACTGCCTTCCTCCTGTGAACCCGCTTCTCGCATGGCTCGGTCCTTTCTTCCTAGACAGGTATTATCTCCCCCCCCCCCTTCATTCTATCCGCAGCAAACACACAGGAAACCTGGATTTTAGATGTTGGATGTCTACTGTTCCACAGTACTCACAGGCTGACATCTTCTACACACCGACCCCGATGGACACCAGAGTCATTCTTGCCACTTCGCCTCTTCACCTTTAGTCAAAGTCAACATTTCAATTTTAGCAGTGACTCTGTGCCCACACTGACTAGACACATAATTTAAACTGGAAACTCTGTGTTCCCCTCAAAGTCGACATCTCTGTATCATTTACTGGTTCAGTCACTTCCTAGTTGAAAACGAACCAAGCCTGTAGGGATGCATGCGGTAGACGTGTGGGAGGGACCTGTACTATTGGTAGAGCGAGATGGGCAAATAGTGATGGTAGCTGGCATACATTACACACAGCAATGAAGAGCATTGTTTCCATTTCACAGCCAAGGAGACAGAGGCCATAGGAAGTGAAGCCCGTGGTTGCAGAGAACAGGAAGTGATGGGTCTGGACTTGGCAGGGACTGCCCGCTGCCTGAGTTCTCTCTCACTAATGCAATTCTGAGAGACCCCAGTCCCAGAACATCTGACCACCAGGGATTCCGAGGTCAAGTCAGTGTGGGTGATTGACAACAGTCTACTGCCCTCTTACAGAACCAAGATTCCCACCGCCACAGTCTGTGTTCTAAGAATTCTGCAGAAAACTTCCTAAGTCTTTGATCCCGTCCCCACCCACCTTGAACACAAAATCCCTCTACTCCTCTGGACCTGTACAACCCTGGAATGAACGAATTGTTCCAACACATGCCTAAATGACTCTGAAAACTATATAGAAACCTCTGTCATCGGCAGACTTCACCATCAGCTTCACATGGAGACAGCTCTCCTGGCAGGGTTAGACAGCTGTCTATGATCCTGTAAGCTGGAGAGGAACCCACCCAGAGCTACTGTTGGCTGATAGTTTGTTTCATCAGCGAAGAGAAGACACAGAGCCATAGCTAGAGCTGCTGGGAGGGCCAGTGCCACTTTGGAATACAGGGGGGGTTCTGCCACGGTAATCTACTGAACACCTAGGGAGGGCTTCCCCTGAAGCCAGTGAGCATCTCACCGGGTGCTGAGACTGACCTGGGGAACGGGCATGGGTGACTCTTAGGATAGGTGGGTGCAGATAAGGATATGTGCAGAGCAGCAATAGCCCCGTGTTAACATGTACTCCAGTCATGCAGACACGCACCCCTATATTATCAATACCCACACTCTTGCCCAAGGCAGTTATTTGAGCACGTGCAGCTCTATATCCCTTAGGCCTGAGAAGGGACCTCTTCCTAAGAGGCTCCTTTAGTTTCCCCAAAGCCCAGGAGGTGACAAACACATTCTGGGATGGGCAAGCACAGTCCCCATGTCAGCAGAAGAGGGAGCCCGGGAGAGCAGCTCTCAAAAGCTGTGCTGGTGCATCCCATCCGTCCATCTTCAGCAGCTCTCAGGCCTTTGTGGCCCATAGTCAGGAAACAAAGCCACCGCATCTATTACTACTGGCGTGGCCTCGGGGCTCCCTGGGCTGTCTGGTGAAAGAGCACCCTCGAGTACCCCAGTGCCCAGGAGGACCATCCAGGAGTTCAAATTCCTGTCCCTGTGGCTCATGAACCTAACAAAATTATTCAGAGGCTCTGTTCACGTCATGGCCCGTGGGAATGGGAATATACGCAAAAGATTATAGTGAGGAATCATTATACCAGGCATAGAAAGCGTTTACATCAAGTGGGGCCTCGAGTCTGCTCCCTGAACTTCAGCCGCCGCTCTCTCAGCCTTTCTCCATTGCAGTCAGGGGTCACTGTCAAGCATGTCTATGTCTTCTTCATCAAGTAGAAACAAAAAAGGGTTCAGGGAAGGATCCATATGGATCTGCTTCAAGGTCACACGTGTCTTGTTTTAAAGCTTACAGAAATTTGGCCCTCCATAATTGTAGAAAGAACAGCTAAACACACACTTTTGAGGAAATGCAATAGGAACTTGCTATCAAAGTTCAGTCAGTCATTCAACAGAAAGGTCTCTTAACACCCTAAGTGAGAGGTTTGGTTTCTAGGCCAGAGGTTGAGGGGTGAGGAAGCAGCTGTTCCAACAGCAGCCTTCACTATTCATTGATGGGTCTGTTATTCACTTGGGTGATGTGGAATGCCTAAACTGCTCATGGAGTCCGTCCTCAGTGTCACAGAAACAGCCTGACCTGGATCTCCTTCCTCTCACCAAGAAAAATTAACTTATTTATAACAATTCTGAAAGTTTTCTCAATGCCTTCTAGCATTAGAAAACAACAACAGGAAGTGGGGAAATATATGAAGCTGAAAAACATTTTTTCAATCATCAAATTATGACAACGAGTACAAGAATGATTGTTTTCCATTCTTACTTGTAACTTCTATCTTCACAGTCATTTATTTGTGTGTGTAGGCATGCCACGGCACACCCGTGGAGGCCAAAGGAGAGCTCTCCCACTCTTGTTGTCTTCCTTCTACCATATGGGTAGGTTCTGGGAATGGAACTCAGGTCACCATGCCTTTACCCTTGGAGCCATTTCACTGATCTGTGAGTTAATCTTTGATTCCACAATTTAAAAACAAGGCTTGGTCCATATTAGTCGCCCCCCTCAGGATCAGTGTACATTTTAATAAACAAGTTCAACTTAAGAGCTAGATGCAGCCCCAGTGCTGGGAGACAAGACAGATGGCCAGCTGACTGCACCCCCCCAGCTTCATGTTCAAATGAGAGATCCTAGCTGAAAAAAATAAGTTGGGGGTGTGGGGGGTGACAGTTAAAGACATCTGACAACAGCCTCTGGACTACACACAGACACACAGACACACACACACAAACACACACACACATACACACACACACCCCACAGAAACACGTACCACAAACACACATATTCACACACATACACACACAAACACACACGCGCGCACACACACACACACACACACACACACACACAGACAGAGAGAGAGAGAGAGACACGTACCACAAACAAACACACACACACACACACACACAGAGAGAGAGAGAGAGAGACAGAGGAGAGAGAGAGAGAACAATAATAACCTATTACTATTTCATTTGGCATCTATAGTCTGATCTCAGTAAGTGATGAGACAAGGGCAGGGAACATGAAGAGAAGGCCTTAAAGAGACCTGTGGTTGAGGCAGGGTAGGGGGGTGGATAGTTAAGTGTGGATGGTTAAGTTTAAGCAGTTAAAAACAAGGAAAGGCAGAGCCCAGGCAACCTTACAGAACTCATCAGTATGTGCTGACAATGCTCATGGCCCAGGCCAGTCATGTCTCCCATTGGCTTGGACATAGTTCCATCAAGAGTGCGGGTGCCCGGTAGCTTGCGCTGCCATCCCTCTCCAGGTTTCTCTAACGTTTAGCAATGCCTCTAATTTCTTGACTATGGTGAAATCCATCCATTAAGACAGAATTTAACAAGTGGCATAAGCACACAACGGCAATGCTGAGAGGCAGGGGCCAGCAGCAGAACTCCCTGCTCATGCTTCTATTATAAACCACCTGTGTGGCCCATAGAGACCCCACACAGAGCCAGGGCACTAGGGAAGATGAGCAAAGTATTTGAGCCAAATAAAAATTAAAATGAAAGAAGAGAAGACATGTGACAGAATAGAGTT